CTGCAAAAGAGTACAGTGCGTGTTATTAATGGTGTGAGGTGACTGTGAGAGAACTGTGTGAGGGGAAAATTGTGAAGGAAGATTTGAAAGGAACACTGTGCAGGAACACTGTGCAGGAACACTGTGAGGAACACTGTGCAGGAACACTGTGAGGAACACTGTGAGGAACACTGTGAGGAACACTGTGAGGAACACTGTGCAGGAACACTGTGAGGAACACTGTGAGGAACACGTGTCAGGAAACACTGTGCAGGAACACTGTGAGGAACACTGTGCAGGAACACTGTGGAACACTGTGAGGAACACTGTGAGGAACACTGTGAGGAACACTGTGCAGGAACACTGTGCAGGAACACTGTGAGGAACACTTGAGGCCAGGAACACTGTGAGGAACACGTGCAGGAACACTGTGCAGGAACACTGTGAGGGAAAACAGTGAGGGGAAAACTGTGAGGAACACTGTGAGGAACACTGTGAGGAACACTGTGCAGGAACACTGTGCAGGAACACTGTGAGGAACACTGTGCAGGAACACTGTGCAGGAACACTGTGCAGGAACACTGTGCAGGAACACTGTGAGGAACACTGTGCAGGAACACTGTGAGGAACACTGTGAGGAACACTGTGCAGGAACACTGTGAGGAACACTGTGCAGGAACACTGTGAGGAACACTGTGAGGAACACTGTGCAGGAACACTGTGAGGAACACTGTGAGGAACACTGTGAGGAACACTGTGCAGGAACACTGTGAGGAACACTGTGAGGAACACTGTGAGGAACACTGTGAGGAACACTGTGAGGAACACTGTGCAGGAACACTGTGCAGGAACACTGTGAGGAACACTGTGCAGGAACACTGTGCAGGAACACTGTGCAGGAACACTGTGCAGGAACACTGTGCAGGAACACTGTGCACGAACACTGTGCAGGAACACTGTGCAGGAACACTGTGAGGAACACTGTGAGGAACACTGTGAGGAACACTGTGAGGAACACTGTGAGGAACACTGTGCAGGAACACTGTGCAGGAACACTGTGCAGGAACACTGTGAGGAACACTGTGCAGGAACACTGTGCAGGAACACTGTGAGGAACACTGTGCAGGAACACTGTGCAGGAACACTGTGAGGAACACTGTGCAGGAACACTGTGCAGGAACACTGTGAGGAACACTGTGAGGAACACTGTGAGGAACACTGTGAGGAACACTGTGAGGAACACTGTGAGGAACACTGTGCAGGAACACTGTGCAGGAACACTGTGAGGAACACTGTGAGGAACACTGTGAGGAACACTGTGAGAAACAGACTGGTAGAGCTTGCAATGGAAAAATCATGTTGACTGTGTTCTGCAGTTCGTGATTTTTCCGTGAATTCAGTTAGAATTCCTTCATAATTTTCAAAGATTTTCCAATATGACGGAAAAATTCTACCAATGTTCTGCAGTTCGTTGTCGTTGAAGATTTGCATCTGAGTATTTATTCCCATTGTATATTTTTATTTGTTCAGGATTTTTCTCAATAACTTGAATGCTTATGACAGTAGTAATTTGCATTTCTTTATAAATAAAGCACAGCAGAAAACCAGACGCTAATATCATGAATATGTTGCAAGATTGTTGCTAATGTTGATGATTGAATTTCTAATCATTAATTCATACGGTTTTTTTTTCAGGATTTTACTCATTTAAAATTTGTATCTGAACCTCATTGAAATTGAGGGCTAATACTGGAGGTTCATTTTTATTTAGGTTTTGCATATGTGAACTTTTTTTGTTTTCCTTATTCCTTGTTTGTTATTTTTTGGGTTTCTTACTTCCGATATGTATGATTAGTTTCTGTTCTATACTAATAATGTCTCCGAATAGTTTTATCTTTGTTATTGCAATTAGTCGGATATCTTAGAAAGTGTAACTTTAATTAGTAGGATATCTTAGAAAGTGTAACTTTAATTAGTAGGATATCTTAGAAGTGTAACTTTAATTAGATGGATTTCTTAGAAAGTGTAAACTTTATTTAGTATGGATATCTTAAAAGTGTTTACTTTAATTTGTAGGATATCTTAGAAAGTGTAACTTTAATTAGTAGGATATCTTAGAAAGTCTAACTTTAATTAGTAGGATATCTTAGAAAGTCTAACTTTAATTAGTAGGATATCTTAGAAAGTCTAACTTTAATTAAGAAACTACCTGAGTTTTTTTTTTTCTTCCTGTATCCTGACGAATTTATTTTCCTCGTAACTCGAGAACACTTCATTAAATCGGCTTCAAATTTTTAACACTTGTTCACAGTAATAAGAACCAAATTCTTGGATCATTTGGCACGTTCACGTTCCTTGTGAACAATGTTGTTAACACATTCCCGCAAACCTGGAATGGCTCTAATAACTTCTAAAATCCTGAGTGGCGAAACTTGATATTTTCATTAAAGAAAGTGTCAAAAAATATAACAATAGATAGTGTTAAACTTTTAACTCCAGATTTCATGTTTTTATAAGTAAAGTAGAGCGAATTTTTTTTTTTTAAATTATGTTAAATAAATTTCGGTTTAACTGTTCTTTAAATGGCTGATGCGTCCTAAAGCCAGGATAGTTCATATAAAGTTTTGTTTACGTGCAAGCAAAGTTGTTGACGTAATAAAATATAACTTGGAATTGTAGGAATTCGTACCATAGGTGGAGAACGACTCGTCTGATCGGCTTCAAATTTTCACCTATGGTGTGGTTTTCTGAACACAAATTTCACACTGTTATTGACTACCATAAGTCCCAATTTGCCGATTTTAATGAAGTTAATTATTATATTGTTTATACAATAACTACCAACTGCTTCTTCTGATTGGCTTCAAAATAATATTAATAAAGCAGTCTATAATAAGGATAATGACCTACAAGTCTAGTACAAATACTTGCACACTCTGAATTTTATTGAAATAGTTAATAATATCTTTATTTACTACCAGTAGATGTACAAGGTATACAGTCCTAGCTGACATCAATGACATACTACTATATAGGATGCCGCTTGTTATGCTGAGCATTTCGGGTAAATTAGGTCAGTTTTGTCCCAGGATGCTACCCACACCAGTCGACTAATACCCAGGTACCCATTTTACTGATGGTGAACATAGACAGTGTGAAGAAACACGCCCAATGTTTCTACTCTCGCCGGGAATCGAACCCGGACCTCGCCGTGTGAATCGAGAGCTTTTGCCACCAGGCCACGGAAACGTTGGAATCATATAAGTTAGTGAACAGCTTCAAACTTTTATTATCGGTGGGCCTCTTTGAAACACAGCTGGTCACTCACAGCTGGTCACTCACAGCTGGTCATTCACAGCTGGCCACTCAATCTTAGTTGTGTAAATTGTAATTTGTCAATTTTATTAAGCAAATTATTTCGCATGTAATAACAAGTACTAACTCTGAACTGTGTGAGTGCGAATTTACCACTTTTTGTCAATTTTTATTAAATTTAAAAAATAAAAATTCACTACTTTTCCTGCAGGATTATAAATGTAAATGTGACAAGTAGTCTGTTTATCACAAATTTTCGTTTATTACCTGGATCTCCCGGATTACCCCTGAGGTCACGAATATTCCATTGTAAATAAACCATTATTCACAAAGACAGGTATGCCAACAATAACAAGCGGTAAAATCTATGGGCTATTAGGGGTTACCTGGAGTTTACCTGGAGAGGATTTCTGGGGTCAACGCCCCCGCTGCTCGGTCTGAAACCAGGCCTCATGGTGGATCAGGGTCTGATCAATAAGGCTGTTACTGTTGGCCGCACGCAAGCTGACGTACAAAACACAGCCCAGTTGGTCAGGTACTGACTTCAGGTGCCTGTCCAGTGCCTTCTTAAAGACAGCCAGGGGTCTTTATTGGTAATCCCTGGGAGGTAGTGAAACAATCTTGGGCCCCTGACACTTATTGTGTTGTCTCTGTGTACTCGTGGCGCCCTTGCTTTTCATTGGGGGAATGTTGCATTTCCTGCCGAGTCTTTTGCTTTCATAGGGAGCGATTTTCGTGTGCAGGTTTGGTACCAATCCCTCCAGGACCTTCCAAATGTATATTATCATGTATCTCTCTCGCCTGCATTCCAGGGAATACAGATCAAAGACCTTCAACCGTTCCCAGTAATTTAGGTGCTTTATCATACTTACTTGTGCCGTGAAAGTTCTTTAACTTTCCAGGTCTGCAATGTCGCCAGCCTTGAAGGGGGCCTTGAGTGTACAGCAGTATTACAACCTAGAGAGAAGCGATTTGAAGAGAATCATGGGCCTAGTTTTGAAAGTTCTCATTATCCATCCTCTCATTTTCCCAGCAGATGAGATAGATACATTGTTGTGGTCTTTGAAGACGAAATCCTGTGACATTATTACTCCCAGATCCCTCACAGTACTTTTTCGCTTTATTGCTGGTAGTGTGTAAAACACTGTTCCCTGAGGCATTATCTCCTTTTGATCCATCTCCAGCAGTATATCTTGTTCTGTGAATTGAATAGCGTTGCCTTCACTGTCCTCCAGGGTAACACTAGCGCCCTCAGGACTGTCCTCCAGGACAACACTACAACCCTCAGGACTGTCCTCCAGGACAACACTACAACCCTCAGGACTGTCCTCCAGGACAACACTAGCGCCCTCAGGACTGTCCTCCAGGACAACACTACAACCCTCAGGACTGTCCTCCAGGACAACACTAGCGCCCTCAGGACTGTCCTCCAGGACAACACTACAACCCTCAGGACTGTCCTCCAGGACAACACTAGAACCCTCAGGACTGTCCTCCAGGACAACACTAGAACCCTCAGGACTGTCCTCCAGGACAACACTAGAACCCTCAGGACTGTCCTCCAGGACATCACTAGAACCCTCAGGACTGTCCTCCAGGACAGCACTAGAACCCTCAGCACTGTCCTCCAAGACAACACTAGAACCCTCAGGAGCACTGTCCTCCAGGGCAACACTAGAACCCTCAGGAGCACTGTCCTCCAGGGC